ATGTGAGTATTTGTACAGTGCCTCACGAGAAAGTAAGTCCTCAACAACAATTCTCGAATTATACTATTATTTATTGATTAGATGGAGTAGAAAAAAACTAAAAATAAAGTTTTTGAAATATTTAGATTTTGTTTTATACAATAAAATATATATAGTAAACCGTGGAACTTATTGAGAAATTAATATTAAAAAATAACAAAAAATTTTCAAGTAACCTAGTGTGATTTTTTAATAATAATTTCTCAATAAATTCCACGGTAACCTATATATTTTATTGTAAAAAACAAAACCTAAATATTTCAAAAACCCTATTTTTAGTTTTTTTCTACTCCATCTAATCAATAAATAATAGTAAAATTAATTATAATTCGAAAATTGTTGTTGAAGTCTTACTTTCTCATAAGACACTGTACAAACACACACATTTAAAAAAAAAATTTTCAAAAATTTGCACGGTAAGGTATAGTTAAAAGTTCACTATTAGATAAATAAGGACATCTACTATTAGAAAAAAATTAATTTTAGTCATAATCTAATATTTTTTATTTAACATTGGTGGCGAAAGGACCTCCTTAAAGCCTCCTTTAAAAAATGTCATTTCATAATGGTTTTCCTAATGTACTTTTACTAAAACGTGCTTTAACAAAATTTTACCATGTTGGTATTGCTGATCTGTGTTTAATTCTAACATTAACCGGAATATTAGCCACAAAAATGTTAAGTTTCCTAAAAAACCTTTTGTAAATATTTTGTAAAATGATAGATATCACGTAAGCTCTTCGGGTTTTTCCAAAGTAGGTGAAAAAGAATTTGAACGTTTTGAAATTTAATTATTCTAGGAATTAATATCTGCAATGTAGAACACAGGAAGCAGGGTAATGCTCTGGGTAATCCTATTAACAATTGTAAAAACCCTTTTATCGAAAGTACGAACCTCAGAGTACCTACATGTAATTACAAATTATTGCTTTTAAACCATTTTAAATTTTCGTTTGGGATTTCCGAAATTATAGTATATTTCAATGTGTCCTATCGTGAAAAAGGGTTTCTCTGAGAAAAATAAAAGTTTAGATCAGTTTTTTTTTTTTTTTTTTATAAAAGCAAAATTGTTTCAGTATATTTTATAGCATTTTAAAACAGATAAAATAAACAATGTTGAAAGGGTTGGTAGGGGAGAACGGGGGAATGGCGGTCAGTTAAGCCAGATCGCACATAAAACAGAAAATACAGCGTTGTGGTCAAATGTAAATAGTGTACAATCCACTAGACTGTGGTATACCACTTAAATCAAAATAGTATACAACAAAAGAGAAGTAAGATCTGAAACAACGTCATAACATTGACCACTATTCCCCCACTCTGCGATTAATACCGGTCAGCCAATTTTCAATGCTTTTTAAATGGGGATGTCATATTTTCAGAAAATAATGAAACAGTAGTTGCAAGAAAAGTATAGTAAGGTATTTTATTGTAGGCAATAATGAAAAAACAAGTCACAACTCAAAAAACGACATAAACAATAATAAAAATCAAATAATAATAATAATAATATAGATGATAAAAGAGGTATGGAAAAGTTTCACTTTCGTAGACAAACATCGCACTTGTAGTTTTCCCAACCGCTACATAACTCGTAAACCCAATGGCCGCACACTATACAGCGGTACCACAACTCACCATCTCTCCCAAATTCCTTGCAAATGAGACATATATCATTGCTTTGTTTGCTCTCCATATCATCCACTTCATCATCCTGATACAGAGTTTTTCGTCTATATTTTCTTCATCTGATGAATCGCTTTGCAACAATTTTTTCAAATTTTTCTTGAACTCCTTCTTTTTAACCGTCGCCTTTGGTTTCTTTCGTTTTTCTGTTTTTTCTTTTTCGTTTTTTTTTTTTGTTTCCTCTCTCTATCTTTTCTTTTTTCATCTTCGCCTGTTCTTCAAGCAGCGTCTTTAAAGGACTCTCGGTTAATATCTGCGAATGTTATTTAGCTCGAGTGACTGATCTTTTATTAGCAGGACTGGCAGAAGGGACTGGCAAAAGATTGTAAAACTTTAAAGTAGGTATAGATTTTAGAATATTATCTGGTGGCTTAAAATCTTTGGAGGTGGAAGGTTGCGCCTCAATAAGGTTATTTAGAGGAACAGAGTGTGGTTTTGGAGAACTATTTATTGTAGGACCAAGACTGTGTCAGTTTTTTGTCGGATTGCCATGCATCTAGACTTATTGTTGATGAGCTCTCATTGATGGAATCTTCAATAGAATTATCGACATCATTAACCATGTCTATTTCTTCGGTATCGTTCCGGTAGTTAAGAGTATATGCTGCTAGGAAGTCTTCATCGGTGAATATATTGGGATTTACTAGATGTATTCCGGTTGCTTGAAAGCCGGAAATTCCGACAGCCATCGTGGCAATTCTTGAATAGGCTTTATTGAAAAGTTCTGCTAAATTGTAAGGTATTATTTTTAACAATGCCTTTGACTTCATATAAAGGTAACATTCTCTGTAGAAAGCAGCTTTTAGTGGCCCATATAGGGTAACATCAAGGGGCTGCATTCTGAGTGATGCATGAGACAACATGCAGATGCCATTTTCTCTACATAAGTTGTAAGTTTGCAATGTGATATGGCTACTATGATTATCTAATACTAATAAAGCAGGGTTCTCTTTGCTACATTTCGAATGTGTTATAAAGTGTTTAATCCACTCGTCAAATAACTGTTTATTAAACCAGCCATTGGGCGAAAATTTATAAGCAGCACATGGAGGTCCACCTTTTGCCAAGAGTGGAGACATCCTCTTCCGAGGAAAGATAAAAACTGGAGGTATATAGCTCCCAGCTTCATTCATGCAGCAGATAACTGTAACGGTCTTGCCTCTTTCCCAGCTTGTTACAGAACCAATACGTTTTTTTCCTTTGGTCGCGACAATGGTACCAGGATCTTGAACGGTCGATATCCCAGTTTCGTCGACATTGTATATTTGGTTTGGCAGATATTGGGTTTTAGACACTACTTCTTCCAAATTTTTGTAGAATTTTGCTACCTCTTCTCAATTAAAGGCGGTTATCCTATTAATGCTGGTTGCTTTCGGCTTTCGAACACTTATCGTAGGATTCCTCCTTAAAAACGCATAAAACTAGTCCTTTCCTGCCATTTCGGATAAATGGCTAAAATTGTGCTTTATATTGTTACTGGTTACATATTCATAAGCAATTCGTCGGACCTGCTGGGGGCTAACATTATAAACTAGATCTGACAGATATTTTATACGGTTAGCTAGAACGGCTTCTTTCTCCAAAGATAACGTAGTTTGTCATCACATACGTGAAGCGTTTGTCTTATTTTTTATTTTCTTTCCTGCAGTTTCCTAAACGGAATATGGAATTTTTTGCTTGCCGATCGAATTCAATGGCCTTCTTCGATAAATTGCAAGGCATTTTGAAGTTGCTCGGGGGACCACTTAATTTTATTTCCTTTTTTGATGTAAGTCCTAGGCATCTGTACCAAATAAAACACATTGATTTAAAATTAAAAATATACACCCGACTTAGTCATAGGAAGGCCTGTAGCTAGAATACTATTTTTGTCATAATAAATATGAAAATCTTCAAAATAGAGCTTGGAAATTACTGACTTTACGTTTTAATGCTATAAATCAAGTGACGACAGCTGTTGAACAGTAAAAATCAAAATTTAACAATTTAAAAATAAAGTTATATTATTTGTGTATGTACTCACATTAAATTAAACAACTGGCGCGACGTCATAAAAAATTCTCAATCAAAACTAAAAACTTTCAAGGGTTATCTGAAAAAGCACGCTTTAAAGCTTCTAAAGGGTATTTAGTTAAAAGAAGCACTTTGTCAATAAATTTGTTTTATGAAATCGATATAACATTTAAAGTGTCCTTTTAAAATTGAAGTTTCCTTTAATTTGATTATGAAATTGGTCCTTAGTATTTTAAGAATTATTTTGTTAAGTATATCACAATGAGTTCCACTACTTAGATTTTTAGTGAAATCTTCTTCAAAAAACTCAAAAAATATGTACACAAGGTTCATATTAATGAAGAAGCAGCTAATTAGTAACTTTCTTATGTAAAAATATCACGATTTAGCCAAACTTGCCTATCCGAAAGTAGGTGTTAAGCTTGTATTAAGCAACATATAGGGTAAAGGTATAAACAGTTTTTGTTTAATGAAAGTCAATCGGACTGCCACTTAAGTGTAAAAACAATAAAAAATACGATTCTTTCCAAATTAATTTAAAAAAAGCCAAATAATTTTTTCAAGCACCCTGTATCTGTCTTGAAATTTAGTCTAAATAGATAAATTTAGCTACATTTTCATAGTTTTATATAAATAATCTGTTGCTGTTCCGTGTCCCTTTCCTTTCAAGACATAATGTATTTTTAATTTTAGAAATATAACGATCCCGAAAACTCCCTCTATCAAAATTATAAAAAGATCAAAGTGATTTTGTTTTCTATTTATTTTTTTAAATTTTTTACCATTTTCAGATGAATTTTGTACCAAATATAAAGTAATTCAAAGTTCAAACACGTGCACTCATGGCGCCCAATCCCCTGGATCATTTTTTGTTGCTGGCCGCCGCGTCTTCATGACAAAAAATCTGATGTGTCCAACACATGACTTTCCTTTCTAGTTATTATAGGCTTTTTCCGGTTATTTTGTACAACCTATTGTACAATAATTTTCATCTACTCTGATAACCAAGCAGCTTTAAAGGCAATTTTTTTACCAGAAATCAAATCACGACTGGTGCCTTAAAGAACAGGCAGAGCTAAGTAGTCAATACAAAAAGACCATAGCCTGGGTGCCATATAAGATAAGGCCATCACAGGTCCCGAACATCTAAAAAGGTTGTGATGAACAAGGACAAGTAATGTCCAACTCATTTCAAATCTAATCTATAGATTATTCGAAAATTCTAAATTTTTGATTAACTAAAAATTATTTTCTCCTAATTTATTTTGATACCTTTGCTACAGAATTGCACGAAAAAAAAAACAAAAATAAAATAAATAAAATTTGTTAAATAAAATTATAATTTAAAAGATAAAACATAAAACAAATTTATTTATTCGAACTTTTAACGCCACCTTTCTTCTTATTGTGATGTTTCTTCTGCTTAGGACTTTTAGAGCTAACTAAACTGTTAGCAATGATTTGCTGTTTAATCCATGGAATAAAAGTAGGTATATTTGTGTAAACTCCAGGCCATCCCTTATTACCGCATCCTAAACCTAAAACAGTTAATTGAATTAAAGAATGAGAATACCATTAATGATAGCACAAACATTACAAATTTTTTTACAATTAATATACCTACCATAACTGACTACCCCAACTGCTAAATAATTGGTACCGTTTTCCATTATCAAAGGTCCTCCAGAATCCCCAGTACAACTATCTTTTCCTTCTTCCCCACCAGCACAAATTTGAGTATCTTGTAGTTCTATGCCAACTTCATTATATTTACGAGAGCAGTCTTTGAATTCTACAGCTGGCACTTCTAATTTCATTTTTATTTTACTGAACATTTCTAAAACACAATGTTTATATTATAGTATTACTAAAAGCATGTGTGAAATTTATTGAAACAAATATTTATCATCATCTAGATCTAAAGTGATTTCATTTAATCAAATCCAATTAACCTACAACTTTTTGTTTACTCTTTGTCAAGATTGTTTTCTATTTTTGATAAAAAAGCAAAGTGATGGTGATATATCTTATATACCGAAAATGTGTTAACTATTCATCGACAGAGTAAAAACAATATCCAAGTATGGATCGTTACGATCCTATATAATATTTATTTCTTTTTATTCTTTATTTTAATTGTATCCAAATAGGTTATTCGCGTCAAAATTGTTTTCACTTTACTCTTTATAAGTATATATTTGATGAACCTATTCCTAAACCTAAGCCTCTGGTTTTGCTTTTTCCGTTTTTATCATTTTTATCCAAAATCGTGCCTTTGAATATTTGATAGAAATAGCCGAAGGACAGTACGAGTTTTGTGACAATTGATACTACGTCGAATACAAAATATCATCAATAGTGTTGGTTGCAAGAGAGTTTTTTCCTATTTTCCAAAGAATCCGAACTATACCTTGGTAAGTCAATGAAATATTAATTTGATAATACGATTTAAATAAAATAACAAAAAACAGTTAATTAAACGCCACATGAATCAATTTCTCCTAGCATAAAAAGCAGTCCACTTTCAATTTTTTACTTGTAACGAACCAAAGTAGATATTTCTGAGATGTATGTTTTTGTTTTTGAAAGCATTATAGTCTAATCAACAAGTTCAAAAGCGTGTTTTTGGGACATACTATTACGAAAATTATGTTCAATAGCTCATTCGATTCTAAATAATGTCTAGATCAATGTGTGAAGAAAAATTTTGCAGTGCATAAAAAATTGCAAAAGTTATAAACAATTAAACACCTCAAAAACATGGTGTTTGGTTTTTCGCCTATAGTTTGTAAACTATAAACATTTTTGGATTTTTCAAAGAAGATCCTTAAAGAAAAGGAAATTTGCTATAAATAAGTTCTAAAATCCGGAACTGTACCTTTATTATTTATAATTTTAATTTAACTCTCAAAGTAGCCTTCCGCGCGCCATTTTTAGGTTGCGCGCACGGCGTCGAAACCGAGTACGTTACATAAAATAATTTTTTTAAGTTAATAAAATTAAATTCAAAAATTTAAAAAAATGACAGTGTATTCTAAACACTTAGAACAATTAATTCCCGTTGGAATTTTTCATAAAAATTAATTTTTCAACAAAGTAAGGATATTGTTATTTAACAAAATTTTTAGAATTTCTCTCATCATAACAAATTGATAAAAATATTAAATAATTACCGTATTTTTGTTTTGTTTCGTGTAGCTCTTTTTATATACATATAAAACAAAATAGCTTCATAAAAGTTTAAAAAATGTTAATACTTTGTTTATAATAATTTTTTAAAGTTTACAAAAACAGAAAAGTCACAGTGGTGCTATAAAATTTTTTTTTTAATTTATTATAATATTACTGTTTTAATGTAGAGAAAAGACATTTATTAATTAAAAAAAAAAATTGTTTTCCTTCATTTGTTTATAAATTTTTTATAAACAAATGGAGTATTTCAATTTTTTTCAAATTTTTTTTTACAACTTTCTAGACAATTGCCAATTATGATTTTTAAAAAAAAATTTTTCTTAATAATAACTTTTAATTGTTTATAATCGTTTTTTTAATATATCTATTGTCTAAATTATTAGGTAAGAAATGTTTTTTTTAAATCATAATTGGCAGTCCTCTACAAAGTGACAGCAAAAACGACTTAGTGCATTAAAATTACGGAAAAAATTTTATTCCTTTTTATTAAACGTAAAAAAAATCAATTTTTATAAACAAATATAAAAAACAACAAATTGACAATAGGTACGGAATTGACAAATGACTTATATGAGAAATAATTTCATTGCCTACAAAAATGACTTGAATGTTTATTGTCGTATCTCCAATAGTTTAAATGTTACATCAACTTCTAAGTCAACAAATGGATCAGCTGCTGTAACTTTGATAGTACGTATATTTTCAAAGATTAATAAAAAATGGAATAAAATTTTTTCCGTAATTTTAATGCACTAAGTCGTTTTCGGAATTTTTATTTCTTTCAGGAAAAAATAAACCAAAGTTGGGAATTTGTTTATAACAAATTGTTAACTTAATAAACAATGGAATTATTAATAAAAAAATTTTTTTGCTGTCACTTTGTAGAGGACTGTCAATTATGATTAAAAAAAAAACGATTATAAACAATTTAATTATAATTGGCAATTGTCTAGAAAGTTGTAAAAAAAAATTTATAAACAAATGGAGGAAAATTTTTTTTTTTTTATTAATAAATGTCTTTTCTCGACATTAAAACAGTAATATTATAATAAATTTAAAAAAAAATTTTTCCACTGTGACTTTTCTGTTTTTGTAAACTTTAAAAAATTATTATAAATAAAGTATTAACATTTTTTAAACTTTTATAAAGCTTTTTTGTTTTATATGTATATAAAAAGAGCTCCACGAAGCAAAAAAAAATTACGGTAATTATTTAATATTTTTATCAATTTGTAATGATGAGAGAAATTCTAAAAATTTTGTTAATTAACAATAACCTACTTTGTTGGAAAATTAATTTTTATGAAAAATTCCAACGGGAATGAATTCTTCTAAGTATTTAGAATACACCGTAATTTTTTAAAATTTTTGAAATTAATTTTATTAACTTAAAAAAAATTATTTTATGTAACGTACTCGGTTTCGACGCCGTGCGCGCAACCTAAAAATGGCGCGCGGAAGGCTACTTTGAGCGTTAAATTAAAATTATAAATAATGGAGGTACAATTCCGGGAGTCAGAACTTATTTATAGCAAATTTCCTCCTCTTTCAGGATCATTTTTGAAAAATCCAAAAATATTTATAGTTTACAAACGATAGGCGAAAAACCAAACACCATGTTTTTGAGGTGTTTAATTGTTTATAACTTTTGCAATTTTTTATGCACTGCAAAAGTTTTCTTCACACATTAATCTAGACATTATTCTGAATCGAATGAGCTATTGAACATAATTTTCGTAAAAACACGCTTTTGAACTTGTTGATTAGACTATTATTGCTCAAATTTTTAAAGTACCTGCGGTAATAGGTTAAATAAATTATAATTAAGCGCACTAATTTCAGATAGACATAACTTAAAAGATATAATATGAATTACGTGTCTTGTAATTAAAAATATTGGACTGCTATACCAAAACTGACTATCCTATAAATTTCAATAATTGTATGATGTAAATATAAGATTGTGGTATAATTCTAAATTAAAACCTAGTAAAACAAATTAAAAATAGATAATGTTTATTTCATTTTACGCATTTGAGTTGGAACTATTACGAAAAATTTTAACATTATGGGGAAGAGTTTTCCCCTTAGTAGCACACCATATCTCACATTCAAAAAAAAGAGAGAGAAATGCATAATTTTATGATTTTTTAACTGCTAAAGAATAAACAAAGAACTAGCAAGATTTTTCTTTATTCGATTAATTTGAGACGACCAATTTAGTTTGTTATCCAACGTAATACTAAGTAATTTCACATGATTTTTGTGTGATAACTTCATATTTTAGGTTTTTTCACTATTAGGATTAAAATTGTTAGTAAAGAACCATGTGTTTGTCCTGTACGCAATATCACCAAATATAGAAGTTTGGTCTGTTAAAATGAATGTATTATCAGCAAATAAAACTAATTTACAAGATAGCATGAAACAACTTAAATTGATAAACAACAAATAAAGGAGTCTTAGAAGAGATCCATGTAGAATCCCTTTCCCCACAGACTGAAAATCAGATATATTAAAATAATTTCAACTCAAATGAAACCAAGACGTGAAAGGGAATAAATAAAACAAAGCCATATGTCACAAAACAATTACTTCTTTGGCTAATTGAATTAACATATTGAATTAAATCCAAAAAAAAAGACTTTTTGCTTACTAGGAGCAGATGGCATTACCATTTTCACTACTTGACTACTTAGTCTATTCGTAACCAGTGTTATTGTATACTAGTGAATTTGGTGCCTTTGATAATTCCATAACAGACTGGAATTGATAAATTATCTATTTCTTGCTGACGAGTCCTAGCAAGGACGAAATCGTTCTAAAAATAACGTTCTACATAGGTAGAGTGTTAAAATTAAATTTATATCTATGCTCTCTTTATTTTGGATATAATTCCATACCAGTTGTGGTAATGGCAGCCAAAGGAGAGTGTGACAAATGGCTTTGTTTTATTTATTTTATTTTACCATTACTGATTACAACTTGTTATCCATTACTTAGGTATAAATAATTTATCAGTAGAAGCTCCCCAACTCCATAAAAACTAAGCGTTTCAAGAAGATTTTAATGGAAATTGTTGGACAGATCTAACAACATTACTGCTGTGGATATTTCTATTCAATTTTATCAATTACATCACTCATGACATTGAGAAGAACCGATATAGTAGAATGAGAGCGTCTAAATCCAGATTGGGAGTTGCTATGTTGCTAAAGAAATTATTATATTCAAAATAATCATACATTTTTTTAAGTAATCTTTTCAGTAACATTCCCAAATATTAAAACAATATTATTGAGACCATACTTATCTATTTTCAGGATATCACCTTTTTTTAAATTGGTAATGTTTTATTAGAAACAAGACTGAGATATTGGATAAAACTAAAACTGGAAAAAGCGTAAGCTACATATAGAAAATGAGGCAAATATATTTATAATAAAAAACAAATGAGAGAAAGGCAGAAACTGGAGAAGAGCTTTGGTGAGCTTTAGTAGATCTAAAAGAAGCATTTCAGTTAATTGATAAAAGTAAAATATGAAAATATCTAAGGCAACTTTAAATACCAGAATATCTAAATTAAAGCAATACACTACAGAAAGGAATCAAACAAGGAAACATCCATAGCCTAATATTATTTAATAGAGTAATGGACACAATTCTAAAAAAGATGAGAGAAAACATAATGTTCATAAACAAATGAACGAAAAATGACACCTCTGATGGACTGTATAGGGTACAAGGAATGAGAATAAGAAGCAAAAGAAGAAGAAAAAGAAGAAAAGGAAGAAGAAGAAGAGGAAAAAGAAGAAGAAAGAAGAAGACGAAGAACTGAGAAAGAAGAAGAGGAAGCTAAAAAATATATTAAAAATAGGGTGTCAAAATTAACTGAAAAAACAGTGTTATATTATAGTAGAAAAACTGGTTGCTTTTGAAACGGATCTGCAATTTTAATAGAACATTTTTGTGAAATATCGTCATCACTTTAGTTTCAAATAACATTATCTAAAGTTTTAGACCTGTAAAGGTTCTGATCCCATAATCTGCATCCAAAATTACTTGTATATTGACATTTTTTATTATAAGCACTATCTTACATTTCTGAACTTCGCCTTTCAAATATTTTAATTTTCATATATTGCCTTCAAATGAGATGTACTGAAAATATAGAAATTATCGTTTCCTTTATCAGACTTCTGGAGGTTAGTATTTATTTACGAAAACATTAAACATATTAATAATGTTATGATATAGCCTCTTACCGTCTTCAGTTTTCCCCCATCCACTTATAAGATATATTCCCGAGTTTATTGGTGTTGGATCAGTTTGCAAACAAATTGGTTGGACAAATTCTGAAATTTTAATTTTATTTAATAAAATATAAACCAAAAACCCGAACAAGAAGTGTTTCTTTCTTACTTATTATTTTCATCAAAAAGTAAGAAATCACAGCAACTACGATGAAAAAAAAAACAAGAGACATAAATGGGTATAACCTTTATAACGTAAAAACCATCTGGGAAGCCGTTCCCAAGACCGACTTCAAGCGTCAAGCGTAAGACGACAGCCACGAAGACCGAAACGGTCTCTTCAAGTCTGAACACGTGCAATTATATGAAACACATTTGAGAAGGCACGATAGACGACAGCAGTTTTAGCATGGTAGCATTTGCTGCTTGCTGCCTGTCGTCTGTCGGAATAGAACCTGATGTAGGATCTGGTGAGGCGAGACGTTCTTTTGGCAGGAGGCGCTGGATACGCTTTCACTGCTTTAAGCGAACATGGACTCCATCTCACCGAAATATATCTTTTATAAGCCATATAAAGTTATAATAAAACAAATAAAAGAGCCAGAAGGCCCAGGATGTGGAATATACTCCAGATTCTTAAACCTAAACATAAAATGGGCTGTGAGCAATAGAGCTAGTGTAGTTCAAACAGAGCTAACGCGGATTTTCATAGCAGCAAAAGAAATAACCAGAAACGATATCACTGGAAGGAACATGCTCATCTATACAGATAGCAGACAAGCACTACTCACCCTGAACAGACCACGAATTTATTCAGGGTTAATACTAGAATGTCACGAAGCTTTGGCCGAAGTATCCATCAACAACGTGATCACCTTAAGGTGGATAAAAGGTCACGCCACATCGAAAGGTAACCGCCTTGCTGATTCACTAGCCAAGAAAGCAGCCAACCAAATAGTTTTTGGACCTGGCTCTTCTATTGGCCTGACAAAATCGGCAGTGACAGACCTAATCAAAGAACATTCCCTTGTAAAATTCAAGGCAAGATGGGATGAAACAAGAAACTGCAGAGTTGCCAGGGAGCTCTTAATTTATCCTGACAACACTGCAGCAAACAAATATTTGACTATGACTAGACAGAATCTGCGCCTAGTCACAGGCATTCTGACTGGTTTTTGCCAAGTACGAAAGCATCTCCATATCATGGGGCTATCAGAATCGGCGAGTATTGGATAACACCGGCCGATATAAGAGAAGCACCTTTTGGCGACGTTGTCAACAACATTAAAGCTGTAGGCTGGCTCATGAGCTAGGAGGTGCCTATTTTCTCAGGAGGATGCACAATGGACTTAATGAGGCATAAGTACCGTGGGGTAACCCACCCTCCACACGTTACAGATACAGATGGGGTTGCCGGGTTGGCACCGTTTTGAAAAGTGAATAAAGGAATAAAGGACTACGATGCTGACAGGGGTTACGGTATCCAAAAAGTTCTCATCCTTTAACTGAACTCCTTAAAAAAACAGAAAAACAAATAAAACAAAAAAAAGCAAAAAAACAAAAAAAAACAAAAAAAAAACAAAAAAAAAACAAAAAAAAAACAAAAAAAAACAAAAAAAAACAAAAAAAAAACAAAAAAAAAACAAAAAAAAAAAGCAAAAAAAACAAGAAGCAAACAAATATTTTATGCTTCCAAAAGTCACAAGGACAGTTAGCTTCAAAAAAGAACTGTCCTTTTCCAAAAAGGACAGGGGCAACCCTAAACAGACTACAATCACTGAACATAGCTATCTTCGAATAATGTCGAATAATGTTAACTAAATTGGAGCCCGACATTAACAAGTTGTTAAAACTCCACCAGCCCAACTATCTCATTATATTTTTTATTTACCATTAATTTTGTGTATATCTTATTTTTTTATTTCTTATTAATTTTGTTTGTTTTTAAAACTTTAATAAACAATTTTATTGTACATTTGGTTGTCATTTTATTAATTTTTACTTTATGATTTTTAGTAGATAAAGAAGAAGATAAATAAGGTACCGATAATATGCAACAATATTTGAATAGTTCATATAAAAAATTACCATTTGTTTTTTATTTAGATTTCTGTAAAAAAGTAAATTTTTTGTCTTATGTTCCGGAGGGGCGTTGCAATTTTTTTTTCTTCTAAACCTGGGTGGCGATCCAGAAAAGGTTGGAAACCTCTGTATTAGATTGATGCGATATTGTTTAACAAAAAGTCACTGACGAATTTTAGCGTTTTACAATTTTGACCAAGGGTGGCAGAGGAGAGATAGGGCAATAATAGTTATTCTATATTATGTACCCCGGTATATAAAAGTTCGTTCCAAAAAATCAGTTTCTTAAACACCAGGAATAAAGCCATTCATAATTTTCGTGCGAATACCCGGTATATATGATCTATTAATAGTAATAAGAACAACAAACAATACTATCAATCATATAATATACAAAAATGTTTTACTATAGACACCCGAGATGTTAGTTTCAGATTATTTTTTATTCTAAGTACATAATTTATTTTTCATTTTATTTAATTTTGAAAAATACTTCACTTTACAATGTAAACAAATTATCTAATTTAAATGTAGTTAATTATTTATTTAAAAAATAATTCCACTAGATGACTCTCAAAAAACGTTAATCAATAAATAAGAAAATATTCTTCGCAAATGCCTTGTGTGATAGATCAGCCTTAGGACACATTTTAGACATGAAAATTTGAAAGACAAAACGTATTTCCCATACACAACATCATTAAATGAAAACCACCCTTATTTTTTCATGTTTCCAATCATATAAAGATCAAAATTTAAAATGTAAAGATGCACGGCTCATTACCTGAAATTCTAGCTGCCTTTTTCATATGTATAATGGCTATATCATTATAGTGTCCAGGTGAATCGACATTGTATCCAGGGTGTACGATTACTTTGCCAACTCGGCTAATTTGTAGGGGATCCGCACAATACGTTCCCAGGGGATTGCAATCAACTTTTGTTTCGGTGTTGTGCTCTCCTAATATCACAGAAAATCTAAAATGGAAATTACGATTTATAGAAAATATCGATTTCAATTGGAAACTAATTATCGCTTAACTTTAAATTTGCCATTAAAAAAATGCAATTTTAAATGGCGAGTTTGCAGCTGACTATTCAAGATTATTATCAGAGTGATAAAAAATGTTTTAAAAAAAAAACAAACCTGGCGTGATATTTGGAAATATTATTTAACAATATAAATAGTACATTTAAGTACAAATTATCTTTAATTTTATTTGTTAAGAAAATTAATATTTGAAGAACCATGCTAAGATTTTAGAATTAATTCTGCTATAAGCATTCACTATTATTACATTAATTGCAGTTTTATCCACCCTACATTTTATTTCAAATGAGATGGTTTCTTACAAGCATTAAACACAACCAAAAACAAGAAGAGTCAGAAGAACATACATTATAGAAAAAGAGGGTTTGCTACAGGATTTTTTTTAGTAAAAATGAGGGTCTGTTGGACTTCCGAAGAAACATAAAATGTATTTTTATATCGGATGACCTGGAAGCAATAAAAGAGGTAACGATCACACCATGTAGCTTGCAGCATAAAAGGGTTGTAACGCCAACATTATGCCGCCGCCTTGATAAGCTGCAAGATACTGTTACGCAGCACCTTGCAGTAGCATGCTACTGTTATAGGAAACATATGAGTACTCATCGTCCTACAGTATGCTGCGGTCGTCATAAGTAGAAGTACTAGCAAAACAAGAAAAAATAGTCCAGAAATGTCTGTAAATGTCATTCCATGTCAAGGAAAAGTCTAAACAGTTCGAGAAGGGATCCTGACGTCAGTCAATCAGTATAGTTCTTGAAATAGTTGAGTTGAAATAAATTGAGATACCAAAAACCTGCGTAACAATACAATAGCCTTCATCCAGTAACTCTGGATAATAAATACCAAAATTTTAGGTCTTAAAAATCTAAATGGTTAAATCTTTAGCTTTCCCAGCAACCAAAAACCTAGGTCAGCCATTAACATTCCTAGGAAATACAAAGCCCACTCAATGGCACACCTTTGCACATCCGATTTAACTGCGGTTAGGATGGAAAAGAGAACGTTAATCCTGACATCTACATACCTTCCCTTCGATGCAACCACACCACCGGCCAGTAAAGAGATGGAGGATCTGATTGAATACTGCCTGGAATAGGAGTTTGAGCTGGTAATAGGTTGCGACTTAAACGCTCATCACTTCAGTTACCAAAAATCTTTGTATTTTGAATAAAGATACTACACCAACATTTTTAAACCTTCGCAGTAAAACACTAATAGATATCACTTTATTCACAACTTGTATCTATAAATCAATTCTAAACTAGCAAGTGTCTGATAACATTTCGATGTCAGACCACCGCTGGTTAACATTCAAAATAAACTTGATGTTGCCGGCCTCCACGCTATCTCGGAACCCTAGGAAGACGGATAGGGAAACCTATGTCCCCCTTCTCCAAGAGGCCCTGAGAGAGATGGAGGCCGACACACCAAGCAACAACAATGCTTTGGAGAAGTACTCGAACACTATCCAAAGCATATTAAACAATTTCTATAAAAAATCCTGTCCTCTGAGGCTGGTCCAACACGATCAGACGACTACCGCATGGTGGTGTCACAAGTTGGATCACCTCAGGAAGATGGCTATGCAATCCTTTAATAAGGCAAAAACCACAAAACTTAAAGAGGACTGGGATACTTACAAATCTCACCTCAGAGAATACAAAATATCGTCAGACAAAAACAGAGAGATGCATAAAGATCATATTACGAAGAAATCGAAGATTTCCCGCAGGCAGCAAAGCTTCAAAAATCTCTCTCCAAAAATCCACACCGAAGCATTGGTGTGCTCATCAAAGAAGATGTCACGAAAACTGCGAACCTCAAAGATAGCATCAAACTTCTGCTGTCAATACACTTCCCTGACTCGGTCATCACAGACGTGGCTGACTGGGTAGAGGAAGAATACAGCCCATCGCCAGAAATTGACGATATTTAGCCAGCCTCACTTTAGTGGGCTCTAGAAGAACTTACACCGAACAAGGTGGGTATATTCAGATCCCTTGTTGGCTCTGAGGTATATCCCTAAAAAATGGAGAGAGGTAAAAATTAAATTATATACCCAAACCTGGAAGGATGGAATACATTGTCCCAAAAACATACCGACCAATTAGTCTGACATTGTTTTTTATGAAGACATTGGAAAGGCTGTGCGAAAGATACATAAGGGATGCGGTGATTACAACAACACCACTATACTCAAATCAACATGCATACACCCCAGGCAGTTTTACTGATTCAGCCCTTCATCTAGTTGCTAGCCAGATAGAGAGACCCCTAAACAATAAGGAGTCCGCATTGGGTGTTTTCATAGACATAGAAGGTGCTTTTGATAAAACAACCTTCACAAAGATAATACACTCAATAACCAACAGAAATGTATTACAAATAGTTAGTGGGTGGGTACGTAACATGTTCTAAAAGCAAGCAGTAAACATAAGTGTAGAAGAAGTGAATATAAGAGGCTTGATTGCACGTAAATGTCCACAGGGAGGGGTGCTATCACCTCTACTATGGAACATGGTCCTCGATACCCTCATCAGCCGCCTCAATATTGACAGTAACTACACAATAGCATATGCAGATGACCTGGTCATTCTGCAAACAGGGAATTTTGAGAACATTCTCTGCGAAAGAATGCAAGTAGCTCTAAAAATTATAGTGGTGCAAGGACCATTCACTGTCTATCAACCCTAATAAGACAGAAATGGTCCTTTTTACAAGGAAAATCATTAAAATGGAATTAAAACCTCCAGAACTCCTAAATACAAAACTAAACTTTGCAACAGAGTTAAGGAACCTAGGTCTCACCTTTGACAGCAAGTTAACATGGAACTCGCATTTAGAAAACAGAGTCAAAAGAGCATATATTGCTTATGAACAATGCCGCCGAACCGTGGGGCGCACCTGGGGTTTCTCCCCCAGAATCGTTGCATGGACTTACACGGCTATTATAAGACCTAAGCTAACATACGCTACAGTTGTCTAGGTACCGAAAACCCAAAAATTAACAAAACAAATTCAAATAACAGCATGTCTCAACATAACAGGAGCCATGGAGCCATGGAAGTCATTTCCAGGTTTTGAATTTGTAATCAACAAATATTGTTTGGCATAAACCCAAATTAAAAAATAAATGATCCCCTAAAACAAATTAGTTCCTCTATAATTTAGAACCCCACAGATTTAATGAATATTAGAGATAAGGCAAGTCAGAAAATAGTACCACACGTGAATACAACAAAAAATAGAAGAATATGAGGATGCTCCAATTTATATAGTTGGTAAATATGATTCCAAATAAAAATGGCACAGTAGGTGACAAAAAATTACTGCCAAAATTTAAAGGCCCTTATGTAATTGAAAAGGTCCTTCCTAATGATAGGTACTTAATCTCTGGCGTTCTCTATTGCAATGTTCAGTGCGATCTAAGTATATTCTTTATTTCCTCTTTTCCATATCGATAAACAGGGACACAAATTTACTCAGTGCGTACTGCCAGTGCCAATGGAAAACGATATCAGACAGATGGATTTCAAATTTCTTAAATACCGTAGAAGGGTATATTTGATGCAAAATGTATAAAACATTGGCACAAAGAAAATTATTCAAATTATAAATATATGCCCTCCTCAGAAAATAAAACGTAGTTTTGTTTCAAACCAGGGGCGACTCGTGACCTAAATTTTGGGGCAGAATATAGATCTCGTTATAGATGTAGGTAAAAAATTTTCAGTGTTTTAGAAGGGTATACTATAAACTTTCTAAAACATTGAAAGCTTTTTTCATACATCTGTACTGATATCTATATTCTGTCACTGTGAATCCCAAAATTTTGGTTACAAGCCGCCACTGTTTCAAACTATTTATGTAACTTATGGTATATAAGTGAATATTTTGACATTTGCAGTTTAATAATAAAGTATTTTTTTATAAATTATGTTACAATGATTATGTTTTTGTACTATATTTTTTATGATTATAGGTATTTGAGAAATTTATGAGCAAATATTATACGAAGTAGGGTTTTCACTTTTGACAGTTTCGATTCAAAGCTTGATATTTAAAATTTTATGGCGTTCCTTAATTATTCATGTTGTGCAATACCTAACAGTATAGAACTTTATTGTTTAAAATTAACATAATGACACCATCCAACCTAATATTCAAGTCAACGCTGCAGCTACATTATTTGATTTTACATAATTTGCTTTTCAAATGATTTCTACAAATTGAGTATTATTATGATGTTAAGAAACATGACACTAGCCAACTTGATAATATATCTTCTTAATGTATTGGTAACTGATTATGACGGTAAAACTTGGAAAATTTAATAAATAAACATGAAGGTTAATTGCGTTCCACCGAGATAATCAGTTTAGGCATATCATAAAATAAAAAGACGATTAAATAAATACATAATTAACTACTGTTTCTTGTAATAGAGTGGATTCATTTTAAATTGATTTTGTTTAGATACTTTTTAACTATAGAATTCATAATAAATAATTCATGTTTGTTCTTGATCTTGATTAAAAGGTAACATGAACGAGTGCTGGCCGGCTCTAAGGGTTGTCTTGTCTTTAATTAAAGCTTTAATTGTAAATGTTTTAGTTTTTTTAACAGTTGGTATTAACATGATTTCTAGATTTGGATAACCTGGATTTGCGTTCTGGGTTTTAGGTGGTGCTTCTTAAGTTTTTTTTTTTTTGGAAAAATATGAGGTATTGATTTGTTTTTCGGATTTTCTGATTTTTGGATTGGCTTTTTGGAGCCCTATATTGACGGTTGTCGATTGCCTTTACAAAAAAAAAAAAAATATTGGTAACTTATGGTGTTAAAAATATATTTCCCAGAGGTGCAGTGTAAATTTAAATCCTATATATAGAGCAAAAGGATGTCCTTAATTTATATGTATATTAAAAAACAAAAAATTAATTAACTCATTAAAATACAATTTAAAGGAGAAGTCACGACCTAGCAATAATATAGAAGTGCTTAAGAGTGAATTAAATTCAAGGTATCCTAATGTTTTTTCTCCCATTTTGGCAAATATAACCATACATCTACATGTTCAGGGGGAGTCAAACAGGAGTATTTTAAAGCCAGATAACTTCGATTTGCGCTACAAGAGAAAGTAGAGAAGGAACTAGAGAGATTGAAAAAAATATATATTGATCCCATTACAAAGTAGTGAGTGGGGAATCCCTATAGTTCCAGGATTAAAGATAGAAGGTAACATACGCAGTTGTCGATATTATAAAATCACGGTTAATCCAAATAGATTAGTATTCCTTGCCAAAAATTGAGGATCCTTTTGTAGAACTTCACTAAAATTGATCTCTCATTCGCCTACCAACAAGTAGAATTAGATGGTTTCTCTTAGTTGCTCACTGTTATTAACACCCATAAGGAAATATTTATTTAAAATCAGTTGCCATTTAGTATTGCTAGTGCGCCAGCAATATTTCAACGTCTAATGGAACAATTATTAGCAGGTATTAATAGAGTAGTGTGGTTCTTGGACGACATTCTAATAACAGGTAGAAATCATCAGGAACATTTAAGTAGATTAGAGGGTGTTTTAAGTGAGTTAGGGAGTAGTTGTTTAACCGTGTCATTACAAAAATGTGATTTTTTTTAACTTATCATCAGTTATAACTTGGGTTATAAAATTTAAAAAGCTAGGGTTGCATACTTGTAACGATAAGATTAAGGCAATAGTTGATGCACCAATACCACAAAATATTACATAATTGAAATAATTTTTAGGGTTCGCAAATTTCTACAACAAATTTATATCAAATGCAGCAACTGTGCTCAGACCGTTATACAGTCTATTAAAAATAAGATGTCAAATTTGTTTGGAACAATCAACTAAATAATATTCTTATTTCATCCCCGTCTTAGTTCATTATGATCCGAATATCAAAATGAAGTTGAGTATTGACAGCTCTTTTTATGGAGTAGGAGCTATTATTTCACATGTTTTTTCAGACAGCAATAAACATCCCATAGCTTTTGCTTCACAAACTTTAACAAAACTCTTCTCAAGTTGAAAATAAAAGCATACGTATAATATTTGGGGTTAAACGATTTTTTTCAATACCTATTTGCCAAAATATTTACCTTATGTACTGATGCAAAATGTCTAGTTACCTTATTTGGGAATCAAAAGGGCATTCATGTCTTAGCAGTATATCGGTTACAGCGCTGGGCAATAATTTTGTCAAACTATGTTTATTATATTCATTATGAAAACTTTAAAAACAATTTGACCGAGTGTCTATCATGGTTATCATTAACTGAAGGCTAATTAATGGATCATTATACAGAATTAACAACATTAAATTTTATAGCAGCCAATACAGATTCACCAATTAATTGTGAGCAAATTAAAGAAAAAACAACTGAAAACATTATCTCAAATATATAAGATTGGATTGGCCTAAAAAATTACCATCAAAATTTAAATCATTTGGACATTTGAAAATAATTTAAGTTTAACAGATAATTGCCTTATGTTGCGGCATAAGGAAAAGATATTAAAATTACTTCACCCAACACATTTAGGAATGGTTAAAACTGGTTAGTTTATATGTATGGTGATGACCCCAGTTAAACAATGTTATAGAAGTCTTAATTCATGTTCAACTTCAGATGGTGCCTCCAGAGGGGGAATTATTTAGGTTCCATTTTTCAAAAATATTTTATTTTCTTTAATATAGATGCTTATTCTAAATAGCCAAAAGCAATTTTCACAACTGATACTAAATCTAGCACAACGATAAATTTGTTGCGAGAAGCCATGGCCCGTTTTGGTTTAGCTAACATTTTTGTAGCAGAGATGCAGAGATATAGCTTCTTATTTTAGGTCTGAGGAATTTCAGACATTTTTAAGAAAAAACCACATTATTTTTAAGGAAATTCCCCAGAAAATATGGTGAAAACCATTAAAAGGGCATTAAAAAAAGTTGAAAATAAATTATCTGTAGATAAAGTCAATTAGTATCATATAGAGTAGCACCACATTGTACAACTGGAGTAAGTCCTGCGCGTGCCTTTCTAAATTTATTAAATAAAGATGTAAATATTAGTAGCAGTAAGCATGATTTATCAATGGTAAGTGGTAATAGAGGGAATATAAATATCAGGGAAATACGGAATACTGTGCAGAAAAAACAGCAAAGCCAAATTATAACATATGAAGGTAAAAGAAGTAAGACATTTTAAGAAAATGATAAGGTTGTAATAATAGATTATCTTAACAATAATTAACCGACTTGGGTTAAGGGAATTATAAAAAAAAAATTAGGATAAAGGATCTATTTTATCCATATTCCTTCGGTTAACAAGACTTGGCGCAACTAAAATTATTGAATTACATCATTTTAAAATATATGGAAAACATAACCACTTGATAATTATCATAATACGGTGCAAAATGATACTTTTAATATTAATGCAATAAGTGATGGATCCACTAGTAAGAACGACAATGCCTGCACATATAGGCGCAGTAAACATCAAGCCTATAGGTTTTTATGTTAAGTGGTAATACATTTAAATTGGGATCTGTGCGCAACTCTGTTCACTGACCGAAGGCTACCATTGTAATAATTTGTATTGTATCATATTGATTGGGTTACTGGGTAATTGATTACAATAAAGGGTTATGACTAGGTTTTTTCTGACAATGTCCAGTCTGATAACACATTACAAAAACTTTTATAGATAAAATTAATTCTGTCATATATCGCTTCATTACTTTACAATCCATTTTAGAAACTCATTACCTTTATATAGTGTATTTTGCGCAAGTTGATCCGAGACTTAGATATTGACTGTGTTTATGGGGTAACTCTTTTAATAACTCCCAAGTTTCAATGCACAAAAATGAAATATACAATCCATCTCTTCATCGTTATTTATATTTGAATTGTGTACATAAGTATACAAAAAAAATTATTTAACATAAAAATTCCTACAACACTGGACAAAAATGTTCTCTAGTAATTCCAAATTCCAAGTATTTAATAAGTTACTATGCTAAGTTAAAGATGCAATAAATTGGAATATTTTCAAAAGAAGATTTTAAAAGAATATTTGAAAAACCATATTTTGTTTGTGTTACATTTACTTGCTTTGTTACATTATTAATATTTTATTTTGTGACGGAAAGCACTGTATGGTATTGTGTTATGTTGGGAATGATGTGTTAATACACTGCGACCTAAAAGATCTATTGTGCCCATTTCTGTTGCTAATGAAGCAAGGAAATGTCTCAACGACCCTTCCAATCTTCTCAAGGAATTTGAGTGGCTTCAAGTTATCCTTTGAGTCGGCAATTTTTGTAACTTTGGACTGAGAGTGATTAGAAATTTAAAAAAATGTTAAAAATTAGGGATAAGAAAATTTTTCAATGCCCGAATGCACTACGAAATCCCATCCGTAGAAAGCACTAATTTTCTATATTTAGAACGTTACAACGTGATGACGTGATAGTGCAAGGTTAGAAGAACAACGAAAAATATAAAAAGTGGTCGTTACAATACTACTGTCTTCTTATTATCTTTCCCAAGATATTCTTTTGTAATAGACAAATTAACCAATTTAAAATTTGTTTACTTACACTGGTCCCCTAATTGTCGTATGAGCCTTATGTACACAATGAGCTGCTGTTAAAACGTATTTCGTATGTATCAAAAATGCTGAACATCCTACTGACTTATAATTATGATTGTTATTGTGAATAAGTCTCGCCATCCAAGGAAATTCTCCAATCGCCGCTTTGGTTCCACCAAGAATCCTAGAGCGCAGTAAAGTAACCTTTTTTGGGCCACATTTCTTTGGGAAAATATTATAATCTTCAACTGAAATAGTAGTGCTTGTATTAATATAACAGTTTTTTTACTCTAAATAATTATTTACCTCTACTAATATTGTTCTCTGAATGTATGTAGTTGTCAAATTTACCACAACATACTTTGGGCATATTACCGTCTTCTATATTGAGTCCACATTGAGATACTTGTAAAAATTTTCTCGCATTGACGTTGGGCAGCTGTTTGTACAATATTGGACATTGTTTAATTTCTATACAAATGCCAGAATCGTGATTGGGCGTCTCACATTCTATAGCAAATTCTAAAAAAAAACATAAAAGCTATTACATTAAAGTAAGAGAACGGCTTTGAAAATATTAAAAAATATATATAATAAAAGCAGTTGAAGTTGTAAAGAAATTTATGAAAAGGTTCTGAATTAAAATTTAATTAATGCATTTTACAACTTCAACTGTTTTTAAATTTTTCACGATTTTCCTGTCATTCGCCAAACTATCACCAACGGAAGTATTTATAAAAATATTTTTATAAAAAATCAACGATAGGAAGAAATCAAAAAAGTTGTTGAAATCTCGAAGGTAACATCTAAAAGGGTTAACTAAGGAAATCAAAGAAAATAATTCTAAGAAAGCATCCGGGTATGACTTGATTGGCGGTAATATATTAAAACAATTGCCAAGAGATATACTCGTTATACTCACTATTTCTTTTTTATCTGTATACATTTATAGTTACTAGTCGGTGGCGACTAACCTACAATAACCTACAATTTTATTTTAAATACTTAAAACTATGGTACTTATGCTATGAAATTTTGGTGTGTTTCACTATGATCTGCTCAAAAACTACGCATTACATAGTAATTACACAAGTCTTTTGAGTTTTCGTTTTAGGTGTTCATTATCTAGTACCTCTAGGACCTCCATAGTTTCATGGTTGTGGAGTATTGCTTCGTGTATCCTTGCAAAACTCGTGATCTCTTCTTTAACGGTCGGTATCTTCAAATTTCTGTAGTAATACCCTATAATAATATAATACCCTGGCGCGTCTAGCATATCTCGAAGCACTTTGAAAAGATTTGAATTATGTCTATATTGCACTTTGCTGCACATCCTCAGAACTGAATTTCCCAGAGCTGGATTTCCCAGAGATAGGTTTTAAAATTTGTTTATACAACAATTCTTTTTTCTCCGAAAGTTTTGATTTTCGTACTAACAGCCAATGCATATTTTTATGCTTGAAGTCAAGTATGTGTTCTTTTCATTTTAATTGAATATCAAGGTTCCTTTCCAGATATTTTACTGTATCTTATATATTCTTGTTCTCCACGACTTGTTCCATTTATTTATCTGTTACATGCCTATTGAAGTTTATCTATAGTTTCTTCGCTGTTATGTCCCACAGCTAGAATAGCTGTACAATCAGCTTGAGTAGCGATCGTTCATGTTCAGTTTATGGTATATCACTAGGGTATAACAGATAAGACAATGGTCCTAACATACTACTAGATGGTACACCTGCGTTAATATATTTTACTGTGGAAAATGTTTCCTTCTGTCTGGCATAGAATACTTGATAAATATTATAAGATTTTAAAATATGAGTATAATTTGTTGGTAACATTTTCTCCAATTTGTTCATTAGTTCTTCATGACAGACCTTGTCAAATGCCTGGGCTACATCCAAAAATATTGCTGAACATCTTTGCTCGTTGGTTTTTGCAGTTAGGTTTTGTATGCGGTGAATTTGGTCAATTGTTGAATGGTTGTCCCTAAACCCAAACTGATGTATAGAAATTTATTATTTTTTCATAATAATCTGAAATTATAATGATACCCATACCTGGAAACTTCCAAATGAAGTAAAGTCTTGTAAACCTTCAGTCTCTTACCGGTGCTATCTAAACTTCAACGCATAACAGATATACTTGAAAAAGCCTACGAGCAATAGTTTCGGATGCGAAAAGCTTTTACTTTTGCGATTAGAAATGTCTCATTAAGGCAAGGACAATGAATATTTCTCTAATTTGTTTATCTGTTACTTTTTGACATTTCTGGTAATAACATATATACTAAAAAGTTACTTTCATGAATCTGAACTTGCTTATCACTTCCCCTAGTATCATAAAAGATGATATCAATGAAATATTAATAATAATATTTTTTGTATGCGGCATGCAGAACGCCGCCAATAGGAATCTTTGGATGTTGAAAGCACTTTTAGACATACGTCAAATTAATTTGTATTATGACGAGTACAAATCCATTTTTTTTTTTTTTTTTCGAAAAGGTACATCGAACAAGAGTAACTTTCTTTAGTAAAAACTTCATAGTTTTCTATTTTAATACCAGAAGTGTCAAAAAGCGACATATTAAAAAATGAGAAAATGTCCAATGTCCACTGATGAGATGCGTATGATCGAAATAGAAAAACTGTTCCTGTTGCTTTTAATTGGCCATAAAACACATAGGGTCAAATGGTGTAAAAATGAAACAAGACATATTTTGAGTTAAAATGAGACAGTCGATTCTTTACCGCTAAAAATGATTTGAATGAGATGCAGACAAGAAGTAATAAAGTCTACATATTGTAGATCCCAATTGCATATTTATTGAAACAACAATATTAACCTGTACACAAATAATTTAATACAACTCAATAAGTCGAATTTTTATGACCAAAACTTTTAAAATTGCCGCACAAACTTTGTTTCCACGCCGGTGGTAATTCATCGGGCGCGCTCGATCAAGGTCGCTGTTTGAAGACTGAGGTGTACCGGAGTACCGGCGCTCTGGGAACAAGCCGGACAGTCTGCTGCTAAGAGTCATTGAGTAAGTACGTATTATTTTGCCAGGGTAAATTTAAGACGCCACTTTGGGTAAATATGAGACGCTTCATGGGGTAAAAATTAGACATTTATATACCATTTCCATTATAGGTTCTACAATACACAATGCCTAGAAATAACGTCCCAAAAGCAAAGCCGTACACAGACGAAGACTTAAAAATGGCGCTTACCTTAGTAAAGGAAGGTAAGTTGTCTATTCGATCGGCCTCGAAAAAATTTCGCATTGATAAATCAAAACTATCTCCAACTATTAACCGGAAAAATATTTTAAAACGTGGGCACAAACAAGCACTAACTGACGAACACGAAAAAGATCTGACTAAAAAAATAAAAATTATGGCTAAATGGGGATTTGCTTTATCTAAACAAGAAGTTCAGTCAGTTGTACAAACATATGTTAATGAAAACGCCATAAAAACGGTATTTAAAGACGGCAGACCTAGCGGCGATTGGTTTCGTTCGTTCTGTAAGAGGAATCGACTGAGCCAGAAGAAAATGGAACAGCTGGAAAAGTGTATGAGAACGGCTACCAGTGACCCATTTATAATATATTCCTTCTAAGATCGCCTGGGTAAAACAATTGAACAACTAGGTCTGTAGGACAAGCTATCGCATATATTTAACTTGGATGAAAGTGGGTTCAATTTGGATCCAGGTAAAATCAAGGGAGTTTCCGCACTGGGCCAGAAAGTCCACAGAAGCATAGAAGGCTCTGGCAAAAAAATATAACGATAATGACATGAATTTCTCCTAGTGGCGTGTTATTACCACCTCTAATTATATATCAAGGGCAAAACCTATGGAGCACTTGGAAGGACTAACATGATTTGGAAGGTACTTGCTACGCCGTCTCTGATAAGGGCTGGATGACAACGGCTGTTTTTAATAGTTGGTTTTCCAAATTTTGTACGATGGTTTCAGAAAGGCCGCTATAACTTATAATGGATGGACACGTCGTACACCTGGATAGAAGAACCATTGAACTTGCCGTGCAAAATAATATCACTTTGTTTAAATTACCACCTCACGCCACAGATATTTTGCAACAATTAGACAAGTGTTGCTATGGGCCATTGAAGCTTAAATGGAATCAGAAACAGAGTGGCAGAGATTAAATCAGAGACGTCTCACCAAAAGCGAATTTGCTGATATGATCTGCGAGCTATGGAACGAAGGGATTACGGAGGCCGTAATAAAAAAGTCTTTTGAATCAACTGGTATTTTTCCTTGCTCTAGGGAAAAATATCCAATAGAACAATTCAATGCAATAAAGCTGCAAAAATACAACGTAAGTGTTCAAAACTTTTATTCGTTCGACATATACCAAATAAACCAAGAAGAGGAAAATGATGAGCTTGAAGCAAACAATAGCCAACCGGAAATTGAGCAAAATAGACCAAACGAAAATAAGAGTAACGAAACTGATTCATTTGAAAATAATAATGTTGAACCACAACCGTCTTCGTCTAAATGAGTTTGAAATATATTTATTAATTTATTGACATACCAATAGACTCCTTTTATATTTATAATAACTCCTTGGAGTTGATGACAAAAACGTTCTGGCTTCATGAAATACATCACTACCTGTATCACGGTATAAGTTGAGGTGATTGCTGTTATGCTAAGGTGATGAGTTGGGCTTCTGATTTTTTGATTAATTGTATTTTGTGCTAGATCCTCTAAAGGTTGGATACTCATCATAAAATGTTAAAAATTATCCAATATTATTGAATTTACAAAAATTAAATAGGCATAATATAGCATATAGGTTTAAACATTTTTTACGTGTTTTATGTTTTTTAATTTAGTCCAGATTAAACAAAATTCTTTTAAGTATCCCCTTAAATTTTATTTTTATTAAAATGGCCAAAGCAATGATAATGCACCCCCATGATAATGCAATTTATTTTATAGTTTTACCGTTCCTGGATAGCCAAGATAACTAGAAGACTCAACAGAACCAAACCATTTAAATTACTGATGTGAAATTTTGTGAAAGCATAGCACAGTGCGCGTGTGCAGTGCATAATTCTGAAGTTGGAATATCAAGTTAGAAAGAAGCAGATATCACTTCTTGTACTTAAGTGTATCATAAAAATAAATTGTTTTTTTTTTTAACTATAGATTTAAATAATACGAACATACTTACTAAGTTCCACAGTCAAATTGGTAGTTTTAAAACTTTCTTCCGAACTAACACTGGCTTCTGTAGTCACATCGGAATCATATCCATCGAATGGCTGTCCATATCCTCGGGTAGTAAAATTCGAAATTATATCTTGCACGTTAATCACTAATAGAACGAAACACAAACCGAGCCATTTTGTTGTTAAACGCATGTTGGTTTTGTATAAAAATCCACTAAAATCGGAATATCAGAACTGATTTATTATTTTTTTGATCTTTGAACTACAAGACATTATTGATAAAGTTGCAAACTTGGAAATTCTGTTGTCTAAATAAAGACGAGTTAATTGTTAGTTAAGGAGCTCATCTAAATTAGATTATTTTAAAAACATTTCCAGTTTTGTAAATAAACAAACATTCATGGGAAATCGGAAAATGTTTAGTGTTTTTTTACGATGGATTCATTTAATAAGTTTTAGTCAAAATACACATTTAACGTCTTTATATAATATGGAAAATATTGAAATGGAAAAAATGGTAATAATTTCAAGGTTATTGAATATGGAATATGCACATGGCAAGAAGGGATTAAATTTCGGTTCTTGACATGTTCATGTTTACTGTTGGGTCCAAAGCTAATCCTCAAGGTACTCCTACATTAATATTGTATGATTTATAACAATAGCAATATTTTGAATGTTCTGATAAGAATTTTAAAAAGAAGTGATTATAAATATATATATATATGCAGGAATTCTTAAGAAGCGCCAACGCATCAACGACGTGCAACTACTTTTTTCAAAAATCGAATTGTAAGCATGAACTGTTCGTCGCGTCAAATTAGCATGAAAAAAGTGAAAATGGACAACTTTTTGCGGAGAGGTCCGATTGAGATGCGGTTTCCTGCAAAATGTTCAGAAAACCGTCTATAACAAAAGGTATATCTAATATTTGTACGCTCGCAAATTCTTAATTGTTTATTTAACAAATGAGGCATTTTTGTTAGAGTGTTGATGAATATGTGGCAAATGTCACACATGGTTCAACGAAAATATCTGGAAAATATTCTCTCCGGGGGTTGCGAGGTCCCTCTTTATCACTTTGGTGTTAGATTTATTATTTATTGCTAAATTGTTGTAACTTGCCTAATTAAAAAATGAAAACCTCAACCTCCGAACTCACTAGAGAACCGGAATTTTTTCCAGCATTTCTGGCTTGTTAAGGCGAACCATCGGCACAAGATTTTTGCAAACATAATTGTTTATTGTTCGATTGTTGCCACCTCGCTAATTAACAAATTAATAACTCGACTTCCGGAATCGTTAGAAAACCAGATTTTTTTGCAAAAACTCTGGGATCATGAGGAGAACCATTGCCAGAAGGTTGTTGCAAATATGATTGTTTATTTTTGAATTGTTGCAACCTGGTTAATTAACAAATTAATAACTGTCATCCAACAAAGGTCAGAACACTGGTGTTTTTTCTGTAATGCAATGGGGGCTATTCAGAACTCGTAGCCAAGGGCTTCAAATTGTTCTTGTATTGAAACTCGTTTGTCAGTCGAGAATTTTTCATTTGTCAATTAGCCAGGTTACAATAATTAAACAATAAAAAACTATATTTACAAGAACCTTGTGCCGATGGTTTGCCTCAGTAACACAGGTTTATTGAAAAAAATAATTCATCAACACTCTAACAAAAATGCCTCACTTGTTAAATAAACAATTAAGAATTTGCGAGCGTACAGAGGTTAGATATACCTTTTGTTATAGATGGTTTCCTGAACATTTTGCAGAAAACCGCATCTCAATCGAATCTCTCCGCAAAAAATTGCAGGTAAAATGCTAATTTGACGCGACTATGTGTTATGCATGAGAGTGTGCGAGAATCTTTTTAAGTTGCGTATAAATATAACGCGCCAGGCCTGCGTTGTCGTCAAATTTGTACGGTGCTGCGTGCCTACCACGCGCTACGCCAAATAGGATCAAAGTAGGCGCGTTGCTTTCTATCGCGCGGTAGAACCCATGGAGGTATAATACTAATGGAGATGTCATGAAGCAATTGTTTTGCATATGATACGTTTTATTAAAAATGATTCCACTGGGCGTGGCTTAAATGGTTGACTAAACAGGGTCGTATTCAAATATAATTAAAGTCCGTATGCAGAATTACAACTTTTAAATGACTTATTTACCTAAGATTTGTTTCAACATGATCGATTCGAAATTAATTTGATGACATTGCGCAATTATGACTTCTACACTATTAACTATTATTTATTAACCGTTTTCCGACCAAGCCAATGCCAAGACCATAAAAGAGATTAATATTATTATATTGTTCTGTCTTCGCCGAAACCGTCCGATATATGACCTGTGTGATCGAAAATCAACGTTCGAAGTTCGAATAACACTGTGCATCAGATTTGTTAATCTCTTTGTGCTTTAAAACTAAAACTCGAACTACGATTTTTCGTTCAAGGACTCTCTTGACTTGATCAACGCTGCCAATGTCCAAAATCTGACAATGAGGAGAATTATGACATCAAATTACCAAACCAAAAACCAAACCAGTACGTGAATTGTAAATAAATATATCTCATTAAAAATACAGCCGAGTTTGTAGAAAGGACAATTAATTACATTTAAATGTAAAATATGTAGGTCTTTCTGCTCAGATGACATACATTAAAAATATGACCCGCTACAGTCAAAAGTTTAAAAAGACCAAAAATTCAGCCAGGTATGACTTTATGGTTAAAAGTAGATGGAAGAAAATCATGATCAAAACTACTCTGTCAAAACCAATCGTAACTAAAAAGACTCAGATAATAGTTGTTGGTTTTATTCATGTTTGAAATAATTAAATAGGGTAGGTACATATATTACTAAAATTGCAAGCAAGTACTTACTAAAGATTTCTATAATTGGTACCTATGTATAATAAACAACAATCTCACAGATGCACAGCATACAACTATACAAATGGAATTATAGAGATAATTTATTTTAAAAATAGGCATTCAGTTGCGATTTGTGATTACAAAAAGAAAACTTTAACCACTTTTTCTGATCAGTAATGTTAGTGTTATAGTGAAAAAGTTTCTAGAAACTGGTGTTTTTAATCCTAATAAAGCATTGTGAATTTCCAAGAAAAGTGCATGATGAAAATTGTTTTGACCAAAATTTTGAATGTCATGCCATTTAAAAAGAAACCCTGTGGCTGTGTATAATATTTGACACAAAATCTTATCCTAAAAATAATTAGTTGGTTGCATTGGAGGAATAATTATTTCTTCATTGGTACTTTTTTAGGGTGCAAGGATGTTTTAAATTATATTTATTGTGTATTGTGAACAAAGTCGGCAGGTTTTTAAATTAAGGAACATCAATTTAATGTTTTTCTACACCCGTATTATAATAATGCACTTATATGCCCATAATCCGTTTCATAATGATACCCATTATGATACAGATTTTTCATTACGATACAGATTTTTAATCAATAGAAACCTACAATTTTTCAATCAAGCATGCTGTTTGACGTTTGTCCTAGGTTCCTATGTAATTATTTTAGTTGTCAAAACGTATTAAATTTTCGTAGGTAGCTAAACTTCGATAATTATAATATTAAAATGTCTGATATTAGCGATATAGAAGACTCCTCCACACATATCGGAGAAAGCAGAAAATACAGTACAAAATATTTTACCGCAAAAATCTAGGGAAATACCAATACCTGAAGTAATACCATTAATTACAATTTTGTAGAATTTTTTATAGAAATACGAGTAATTACTGTTATTGTGTTCAATACCAATATAAATATAATATTTATAGGTCTTGATTATTTATCGGGTGTAGAAAAAATAGCGTATGCAACTCTCATGTAATGGTTATTAAAACACTCGCATAAACCATACGAAACTCGCCTTTGGCTCGTTTCGTATCCCGGTTAATGCTCGTGTATTAATAACCATCATTACATGATCGTTGCATAATATACTATTGTTCATTTAATATTAATAATAATTGTAATGTGGTACATGAGCGGGCATATTATTTTATATCATGAGGATGAGGAGGTACATAGCAGTGAGTGATGGCCACAAATCTAATTAAATAATAAAAATACATCACCAGTATTTATTATTATACAGTATATTCATTATCAAAACGGTATAATAATAGGAAATTAAGATCTAATAAAAACTGCTTTTAAATACTTCTAAATTATGTGTTACTTAAAAAGTTAGTCATTTAAGTGTAATTATAAGTTGGTTTTTAGGTTTAATTATAGTTGGTTTTTAAGTTTAATTATAAAGTTAGTTATTTAAGTTTTATTATAGTTATTTAAGTTTTAATATAGTTATTTGTCTTTATTATAAAGTTAGTCAAGCCAATGTTCTTTATTAAGTTAGTTATTTAAGTTTTATTGTAAATAAAGTGTATACTAACTAAACATTCATTTATTGTCGGAACAGCATTCTTCTTCAATCTGGCCCTAAACTCACTCTTATCAAAAGATTCTTCCTTGAAGTGAATAGAGCACAACTTGCTATTCGGTTTAGGCTCAAATTGGTCTTTTTCCACAAATTTAGACCAAATTTTGAGATATTGTGGGTCTTTTGGAAACCTATAATAAAAAAAAGTTAAGCATTCTAAAAAAAATTCTAAGTACACTCCCTTATACTTACTTATGAAAACTTAAATTAGATATTTTCTTACGCTCTTTCACTGAAGAGTTTTTACAATTAATTTTGGCACACTTAGGGGTCTATTCTGTAAAAATTCCTTTATATTTAACGGCCTTTAAAAATATTTTCTTCTTTAATTCGGTCACTATTTAAACGGATCTTTAAAATACATTAGAGGACTATCTTAAAGAAATCTGTTTAAATAATGATAGAAGTAAATTAACGACTACGAACATATTTTAATAGGCCGCCAATATTTTTAAAGGCCGTTAAATATAAAGGAATTGTTACAGAATAGACCCCTAGTCATGATTTTTATACAAATTAATAAAAAAAAAACACTTATTAAGATAGAAATAAAGTCGAAATATTTAAATTTGAACAAAGTTCTGACAGCTCTTTGACAACTATGACATGACCACTAAGAGAGGGGAAAGAGGTGTCGTTTTTTTTTGGCATGTCATCTCCATAGTATTCAACCTCATTGGTAGAACCACAGCAATGTACAGATATAACGGCTAACCATTGATAAACTAGAGGATTTGACTTTAGCAATAATACGGGGTTATGATCGACAAATAATGTTATTTTTAACAGACACGTTATTTGTGAACAGGTTGTTATTTCTGTGTGTTTATAAAATAACAGACCGGTTAAAAATAACACAGGTTGTCAATCATAACCCCCTTAGAAATTAACGAAATAGGTCTATAATTATTACCATGAGCTTTGTTTCCTTTTTTAAAGACTGGAGTTAGTATTGCTTTTTTAATTGGGTAGGAAATTTTCGTAATTATTTTGGCCTTTATACCAA